AAAAAACAATATCATTATTCTAACTTAACATCGGAAAATGAAGCTAACTTACATTCGAAAATATTCATGTTCGAATATCTGTTTTTTAAGAACTTTGGTAAGTTTTTTCTGCACTGAAATCTATACATGCTGTTGGTGTAGAAAAATATATCTTACTATGGTATGTTTTTTGCAAAAAAAAAAAAAAAAAAAAAAAAAAAAAAAAAAAAAAAAAAAAAAAAAAAAAAAAAAAAAAAAAAAAAAAAAAAAAAAAAAATAAGAAATTTCACTGCATCTACGCTCTAGCTCCTCTGGGACTTTCAGATCCTTCACTTCTCAGGGCACGCTAATGTGGAATGCATGCTTTTCGGTGAGCCATTGGAGTAGATGTTTTGCACCGCACGATTGCCCACGCTGCAACGATTGTTAAGTAGCCGCATGCAATGTGCATTTGCGCCCAACACCAGCCCTCAACAGGACCACCCACACAATCTCGCTTGCAGCTGAGCGGCGCCGACATTATTTTAAACAGCGGCAGTGGCAGCAGCGGCTCACACACTTGAGTGCTGTGCATACGAAATCACTGCAGTAGAAAATTAGAAATTCACTCAAATGCTGTTTGCTGAACTGTTCCGGCTGCTGCTGCTTTTGTTCTTGCTTTTGCTGCTGTTGTATTAGTTGCTTTCGCTATGGCTGTTCTTGTAGCTGTGTCCGCTGCCGCATGTCTCTCGACTGCCTTTGTTGGCGCAACTCTTGTCCAGCCAGCGGCGACTTTTGTCTTCTCAGTCATTTTGAATGCACAAAAGTGTGGCGCACAAAATTCGCCCCGAGCCCCAWCCGGACGTCGCTTTGGCGAAGTTTGCCGCAATTTTCTTATAATTTGATTTGCTTTCTCATACTCGAAGCAAGCATTTTTCGATTTCTTCCATTTCGCTTATTTCCTTTTCCACTTTTCTGCTCTTTAGTAGTAGTAGTAGTAGTTCAATGTATTTGGCTGTGTGCGTCTGTGTCACAGTGTGTGATTTTCGCAAATTTGTGTAAATTTTTGTTGTATTTTTTCTGCATTAATATGATGCTTCTCAATTTAAATATTTTTTGACAAAGTCGCATACTTCAGTTTTATCATTTCCCATTTTTGTGCATTCCATTCGCCATGCTCCTTTGGTTTCTYATTCTTACTTTCGTTGCTTCCATTTTCTCAAGTGTATTTTTTCGTTTTCGTGTTCAGTGACCTTTACCGTGATGTGTACGGCAGTGTGGCAGACGTTGGCTGCAAGTGCGTGTGGCATGTGGCACGAATGCCCAGCTAACTTTGCGCCTTGTGGCATTGCTGCCACTTAAGTCCACTGCGTCTGTATGTGCTGCTGAGCTCTCCTCTGGTGACTACTGGCGCTGCAGCTAGTCACCTCGAAATTTTGTATATTTAACGGTATTCGGCTTTTGTTTTTTTTTGATTATATATTTTTTTAGCGCTGGAAATCAACCAAGCGCACATCTTGTCTTTTCTTCATCTCTGTGTCGGTGTCTTCTGCATACTATTGCCTGATTGTGTTTGTGCAAGTTAATACTTTCTCCGTTAGCGATTTTTGGAAAAAATAGCAATATACATATTTATATAATTTTTCATAAACTTATATATTTCGCGCTTATAATTTAAATTTCACTGGTCATTTCTTCAAGTCGCTGGTATTTCTTGCTCCACATTATTCTATTTGCACTCGCCCACTCGGCGCTTTCTCCATGAGCTTTATTTACTTACACAAATTTCTTTTGTTCTTACCCGAATCTGTCCGAAGCTTTGTGTGCTYGCCGCTTATTAAAAATGCCACAAATTGTCTTGCGAAAATTTGTCAGCGGAAAATTGAAATCAGTTGAGTGCAAAAGTTGGCGCTTATGCAGCGCTATGTAAACA